TCTCTCTCTCTCTCTCTCTCTCTCTCTCTCTCTCTCTCTCTCTCTCTCTTGTTTTCTTCTCCCATCTCCCTCACATATAAATTGATTTGTAATTTGATTAAAAACATGAAATTGGCTTACAATTCAATAAACACAATTTCTAATGTGCAGCAACTGATATATCGTGGAAAATATACAGTGTAATAGCGCCAATCAATTTTTAACTGAATTATGCGCCGGCAGCGGCAGCAGCAGTATTGCTTTTGATTGAGTTGTTTATTCGAAATTCCATCGATGTCTACCCATATTCAATGCTTGATCTGGCTTGTGTTAGCCGCCAGTAGCAGACGCATCCTATCTTTTGAGATAGAGAGAGAGGGGGAGAAAGACAGAAAGAAGAAAAAGACAAGACGACGCAAAGTTCCAATGTTCGGCCCATTATTTTTGAATTCGATACAAATGCTCTCACTATCTATGGTTGGCTTTTTTTTAATGGTTAGGCTATTTAAAGTGATGTCGCGTTGAATGCGGCCGAACGCGTGAGAGGGAGACTGGATAAATTGGACCATTCAATTTAACACATAATAAAACTTTTGCTCGCTACTGCCACTTTTTTGTTATAAAATTGTCGGAACTCTTTAGCAATTTGAATATAATCATTGACCTTATCTGATTTATGTGACAAATATTTGTGTTTGATCGAATAAATTAAACGTGCTGAATTAACGAGTATTTTCATGGTTTATTCACCGCTAGATATTCAATTAGAACAAATTTCAATTCGGTAGATTGGGATTGATTGCTTTCGAATTTCGTCGGCATTTAATAACTGTCCGTTTGTTTGTTTGTCGTCACACAGCCAATACTGGGAAGCCGATGTGAATATGCATCGTAGTTTCATTAGTTCTAAATATGAACTTGAAGTAATTGGAACGTGGAACAGACCTTAGCGATAAACGTTTTGATGTAAGAGTAACGTGAGCATTGAACACATTTTTATGATTGATAGGCGCAATTTAATATTTTTGCCTTTCATTCAACTACTTATCTTTCAAACCGGAGCACACTTCCCTTTTAGCAGTAGTTTCATTTACATTGCATTTGTGCTGAAACATTGTGAATTTGACATGATTCAACGTTTTAAAGTATTAAAGGAATGGTTTCATATATTTTTCAGCGTTTTAAATTCAAATCGACTAAACACGAATTCAAATGACGCAACGATGGAGAATATCAATTTACATATTCTAAGTTTTTTTTTGATGAACATTGGAACTCAGCTCTGTTCATAAATTCTTGAAATTATCGCCTCGAATTTATAGTAAAACGATTAAATTCGAAATTTTGGATGCTGAGATCAAAAGTCCACATCATGTCTGACTGACGCATAGCAGCTTGATCACAAAACGAGTGATAGGTTCAATGGTTTATCTATTGATTATTTAATCTCGTGTGTGATTTGCATGCAAAAAATGGGATTGGAAAACCGAGTGCGGTTTTTTCGAAATAGCGATTTTATTGTCGACTGATCAATTGCTCATCGATGAAAGAAGTAGGGAAAATCATATTCATTGGCATAAGTATTCAGAGACGAAGAAATAAATCGATGCAACGAATTGAGTATTAAAATATGTGTGTGTGTGTGCTGCATCTTGACACACCCTTTATAATACGGATGGATTCTTACGTCGAAAATTGCTCATTCCCATGCACGTTCCACACGGCTATCCATGGAAAAGCGTTCGCATATTGCAAATGAGAAACAATAGACAACAAAAAAAAACAGAAGAATAAATATTGAAAGGCACACTGACATCCCGACACACACAGGTGTTTAATCTTGTTTGCTATGTGTGCGTGTGTGTTGTATGGTGTGGAGTAGCAGAGAAAATTTGATACATTTTGAAAAGGCCGCATCGATGATAGACAATAATTGCGGCAACCATCCATTGAGAGAAAGAGAGGAAGAGACTGGGAGAAAAAAATGCTCACGTTCCTCATAATTGGTTGCGTACTCGCACGTTTTCTCTTCCCATTTCAGAATCATTCCAACCGAAGCAGTTGAAAAATCGTACATATATTGAGAAGAAAAAAAACTGTACAAGTAGGTCATTCGTCGAGTGCTGATACATGGCACTTCAACAACTCTATGTTATGTAAATACATTTTAATCCAAGTTTTTCTTCATACGATGAACTTTAATCAACTTATTCGTTCTTGTTCGGCTCTTCGGCTTCCTTTTTTTTGCTACAGCGTTTTGTTGTCTGTTCTTTTTTTCTCTATATATTTATATTCTATTCTTTCGCGGTGTGGCTTTTGAGCTCTCGTGAAACTCATGAATGAAGCTATTTTTAGATATTGTAAGCAAAACGTGTAAGAATATGCAGCGAGTATTAGAAGGAAGTCGATTTGGTAGTTCCGTTTTAACATCATGTCTCAAACGATTACACAAGAAATTAAACTTACAATGAATGTTTTGCAGCGCTATTCCAAACCAAAAACCCTTCATCAACAACGACAACAATAGAGGAAAAATCACAAATTTTCCGGGTATACGGAAGGATTGAGAAGAGTAAATCAACTGAGAGCAGAATCTACATGCACAAAGAAACTTATTGTTTTCATTACACGAAACCCTTAACTGAAGATGCCATAGTACAAACAAGTCTTTTATAGATCTTGAATATCATAAAATCTGCTAATCACACATGTCCCTTTTTTCTTCTTATTTTTTTTTCTCTGAATTTCACTTGTCAACAATTTCTCCGTTAATCTAATCTTCCAGCACCAAAATATTTGTTTAGGATTTACTTAATATTTTTTTTATGTATTTATTCAATCTTTTGTTGGTTGGGGGGAAAAGATAGAAGAACAACGATTTTTACACGCACTCGGAGCACACAGGTTTAAGAATCCAAACAAACAAGACACGGACATACAGATATATTTTTCCCTTTTCTTTGTTTTCGGACAAAATGAAACAGATAGTTGTCTGTTTCAATAGATTTTTTCTAAAAGATTGTATTATCGACGGCACAAATTTTCAGGCAAAATTTAATGACAGCACAATATATATGTAACAAAAGAAAAAAAAATTGTTGGATGCGTACTTTTCAGCAAGTCGACTGAAGTTAGGAAGTAAATACATGCGAGCGAATTTTGTTTTTTGTTTTTCTGCCGCAGTCTTCCGAACACAAAACACTGAATGCTGTTGGACTTCAGCTTTGGCTAGAGTTGAATGCATACACACATCCGTAGCACGATTCAATGTGTTAGTGCATTTTGACAATAACAGAACTCAACACAAATATGAAACAAGGCACAAGCTATCTAACTGTTACTTCATTGCTGTTTGCATGCTTTCATTCCATTGTAATGAAATAGAATGTCAATGTTTCAATGATTCAATTTTTTAAAAAAATTCTTCCACCATTCGAACGATAATTCATAATTTTTTTTAAAAAGAACTAAGTTTGACACATGACAAGTGTGAGTCGTTCATGTGGCAATACAGCAGAGGTACCCGATGTATAGGATTTTTTTTTCAAGTTGCCATTTTCGGAAACGCCATTATTTGTAGACAACGCTCCGCGTGCAGTGCATCTTAAGAAACAAAGAGAGGTTAAAGGTAAATACTGTTCTTAATTTCATAAATCGAACAAATTTCGAACTGGCAAAACAAATTGGTTTTGAACTGAAATTAGTTTTTCGTTTTCAGAATTCAAAATTTTGATTGTGCATTTTTTTCCCATTTTTCAAAGTAAAATATGAGCGTAAGAACAACACGAAGTGGCCAACGTGGTGTTTCAGGTGATGCAGTCTCCGTTCCAAATAACTCGTCTGCCAATGCTGAGGTGGACATGGTGAATGCATCGGATCCACTCGATGGTAATTTATTCATTTTATTCTATTGTTTCACCTTCCAACGCTGTGACGGGAAAAAATACAGAAATTGTTACATTATTTTTTTAATTCTCATCTCGTTCAAAAACCAGATGCCATCCAGAACATTGGTGATGCCCAGGCTCAGTTCAGTGCCATCCGTGCAGAACTCCGTGATGTCACCAAAAAATACGATGATGTCATCAAAAAACAAGTTGACATGCAGACCGAGCTGGACAAATTGAAAAAATGTGCCAAGTGCTCAAAAATCCGCAACGAAAATTGGCATTGTGAAGGCTGTACATGACAGGTAACTACTAAAATAGGCACAACATTATTGACTTGGATAAAATTTCAGAAATACTGAATCAATTCTTTTGTTTGAATTATAGAGCAATGAAAACGAAGGAAAAAATCATTAAAACAATAACTGATGACTTCCCCAAGCCAATCACACCTCCGACATCTCCGAATGGTCCCGAAGATGGTGCTGATTAGGGCGATCGAACCTGTGATCAATAGCAAATGAGGCAACTGTGAGAATTTCCAAACTGAACATTAGATTATTAGTATCGTTAAGCGCATACACATTTATGAAGACTAAAAGAGGAAATAAACACAAAACGCATGCGTTGAATATACTTTTGAAAATACAAAATGATCTTTTCATTGTAAATCCCAGACAATTGTAATTTCTTCCTAAGCCCTTCTTTATTTCGACCAAAGGTAATCAATGTGTACAATCGGTTATGTAAAATGGATGATATCTGACTGGGTTGCTTGATTTATCGCCACCCTCAACGATGAATGTATACGTTTCGCCACGTTCCACATTCAGTTCCGGAATGAGCAAATTGTTCAAATACCACGCAATGCCCCATGATGGTGAACCCGTTTGTGCTTCGTAGCCTCGTTTTCCACTGAATCTAGCGACGACTTGCAGTCATGATCCATCTATATTTTTGGAAATTATATCGTTCAGTGTGGGAAAGAAAAACTGTTTTTTTTTTAAATGCAATTGAAAAATCTTAACCTTTGATGAAAAATCAATCCGAATATCTTCGGCGTTAACGTTCATTCCATCGTATGAGTGTGCATTTGCTTCTCGCCTTGAATTCAATGTTCCAATAGCTCCAATAACCGATACATATCCATCGGTTGGTATTGCCATATCATTTATTGGGATTGATTGCTTTCGAATTTAGCCGGCATTTCAGCATGGCAAACTGTTTAAATAATAACTGATTTGACATGATTCAACGCTTTAAAGTTTTAAAGGAATGGTTTCATTTTTGAAATTTTTCAGCGTTTTAAATTCAAATCGACTAAACACGAATTCAAATGACGCAACGATGGAGAATATCAATTTACACATTCTAGGTTTTTTTTTGATGAGCATAGGAACTCGGCTCTGTTCATAAATTCTTAAAATTATCGCCTCAAATTTATAGTAATACGATTAAATTTAGTGATTGCTATATCGCTCTCAGCATCTCATAGGATAACTCAACGAGATATTTCAGTTGGCTGAGATGACGCAGTGACGCATCGCCCAAGTCTATCGCCCCAGTCTTTGTGATACACACACACAATTCGATGCCGCGCGTCACTAAATGGGGCTGAGTGTATACGGATACCGCTGGGCGCATTGTGTGTATGTGTATCGCACAAACTCGGGCGATGCGTCGCTGCGTCATCTCAGCCAGCTGAATTATATCGTTCAGTTATCCTATGAGATGCTGAGAGCGATATAGCAATCACTGAAATTAAATTCGAAATTTTGGATGCTGAGATCAAAAGTCGACATCATGTCATTGGCCTGACTGACGCATAGCAGCTTGATTACAAAACGTGTGATAAGTTCAATGGTTCATCTATTGATTATTTAATCTCGTGTGTGATTTGCATGCAAAAAAATGGGATTGGAAAACTGAGTGCGGTTTTTTCGAAATAGCGATTTTATTGTCGACTGATCAAATGCTCATCGATGAAGAGAAGACGGGAAAATCATATTCATTGGCATAAGTATTCAGAGACGAAGAAATAAATCGATGCAACGAATTGAGTATTAAAATATGTGTGTGTGTGCTGCATCTTGACACACCCTTTATAATACGGATGGATTCTTACGTCCAAAATTGCTCGTTCCCATGCACGTTCCACACGGCTATCCATGGAAAAGCGTTCGCATA